GGCTGTGTTTAAGTGTGAATTTCATGCATTGGTGTGCTTTGGCTTTTCCCCCTAAATCCAGTGTTAAATTAATGCAAGTCATATGTCATGAAGAAAATGGTCATGAGTTGTTTTGTAAACCAATCTTCTACATACATATACAGATTAGATTACACACTTTCACATTTGTCTTTCCTGTTTCCTGACAGTGCACCCCTCACACAGCCGTCCCCATGTGGGTGCTCTGGGTGCCAAACTAAAGTGATGTTTGCTCATGTTATGGCCTTCTGGCAGTGTTACAGTGACCTCTGTTGGTGAAGTGACAGCTGTCATGTTTTCCAGGGAGCGATAGGCCCCGATGGTCCAACAGGAGAGTTGGGGTTAGAAGGAAAGAAGGTAAGGATGCTGGTATTGGAAAAATCAAACTGTGCAAATAAATAAATAGCCTTAAAATAACAAACATTACATCTGTTTATTATTTGCAAGTTTAAAATGGAAAGTAGTGATGGGAGCTGCATGTGTTCAATTTGAGGACTGCAAAAAGCAATAGAAAGTAAACTGACACATCAGGGCATTGAGTTTTTTCCCAATCATTACAGGGTCTTGATGGTCCACCAGGAAAGATAGGTCACCCAGGATCACAGGTGAAACCCCTGAACATGTTTCTACTCTTTGTTTAGTTTTTAGACACTTTTGTTACTCTGGATGGGCGAGACGTCTTCATGATTTAAAAAACATCAATGTGGAAGGACTGTGTCAGAAACTTCTCTGAAAGGAAAAAAAAAGCATTTATTAATTTCAGTCATTCCAAATTCAGAGCATTGAGGTAGAGAAAGTTGAATTGCGATACAATGGTACTTTAATATTTGTGAAGCCTTTAGAATTTTCTGTATTTCTGCATAAATATGACCTAAAACATGATCAGATTTTCACACAAGTCTGAAAAGTAGATGAAGAGAATCCAGTTAAACAAAGTAAACAAAAATATTATACTTGGTCATTTATTTAGTGAGGAAAATGGTCCAATATTACATATTTGTGAGTGGCAAAAGTATGTGAACTTCTAGGATTAGCAGTTAATTTGAAGGTGAAATTAGAGTCAGGTGTTTTCAATCAGTGGGATGATGATCAGGTGTGAGTGGGCACCGTTTGATTTAAAGAACAGGGATCTATCAAAGTCTCTCTTCAGTCTGGAGTTTTCCGGAGAATCGGTGGGTGAAGGAGGAAGCTGTTGGGCGCGGAATTCAAAACAATTTTTGACGGATTATCG